CCCGATCTTATTGCTGGGAAGCCTCACCTGCTGGAAACCGGGTCCAGCGTCCCAATACAAGAGCGTACAAGAAGATAGTATTCGTGTGTGTATAATACTCACGAATGCTTAAACCACAAGTACCTTTCCCCGTTTGAAAAAAATTAAACACGCGCCGGTATATTCGGGAGCAAGCGTGGATCGCCACTGCCGGACCGAAATGGCTGGTGGCGCCAGCCAAAATGAGGCCCTCACCGATTCATTTTTTTTTTGAGCGCGCAGGTCGATTTTCGGCTCGGCATCGATAGCTAAGAAAGGTACTTACTGGTGGTTTTAAAAGAAGAACAGCTGCCGTCAGCCGTAGTCTAATTCCTAGGGCTGCTCTCTTTTCTCTCTCATTCTCATTTCTTCTTCTGATCTCTTTTTCGTTTCTTCTTTCAAACCACCACTACATCCGAGCCTTTTCTTGCCGACCCTGATTTTCACTGCGCACCGAGTTTTGCCAAGCCTGGGGTCCGGTAACAGGGTTCCGGATCGTTTTTCTTTGGGGCGCAGGTCGATTTTTGGCTCGGCATCGATAGCTGAGAAAGGTACTGGTGGTTTTAGAAGAATAGCTGTCGTCAGCCCTAGTCTAGTGTCCATCGACGATGAGAAACAATTCCTAGGGCTGCTCTTTTTTCTCTCTCATTCTCGTTTCCTCTTCTGATCCCTTTTTTCGCTTCTGGAAGAATGTCGTCTCTCGAGGTAGAGCGCTCACGACTCCTGACGAAAAGAGGAAACTCAAGGTTGGACTCACTTCCTCACGGTAAGAAGAGATTGAGAAGGTAGATAAGGTAATGGAACATCGTACCTGGAGATAGCTGCCCCCAGCCACAGATTTTTCACCAATTGAGCCAATGTGCATTTCGATGACCGATTGTCACATGCTGCGCCTGCAACAGGCTGCACGGGCCCCCTTTCAGGCCCGTGACGTTTTCAGGCCAAAAGCCTGAAAGCAAGGGCCTACAGGCCCCGTGTTGTTTCAGGCTAAATCAGGGACTTTCCGGCCCTGAGTGTTTTCAGCCTGAAACTGAGGGTCATTTTCAGGCCCTCGTCAGTTCGACCCGCCCTGAAACTCGGGCAACAAACCAGGGTTTTAGCACAGGCCATTTCGGTCCTGTTTTCAAGACAACCCCTGGTTGAGCTTCAACGCCAGGGTCTGGCACGTTTCGGCATTGGCAAGAGAAGCCTCCTGGACGGGCCAGCACTATATAGGACTGGCCCGCCCTGCAGGCCGGCATGTAGTTCCTAGGTACTTCCCAGGCACTTCACGTGCAGTTCAGGAGGCAGGAGGGAGTCTTCAGGATTCAGCAGCAGCACTCTGGAGGAGCGTTGCAGGAGTAGTTGTAGCGCTAGCAGTAGTCTTCAGCGCTGGGCGCTAGTAGCGTTAGCAGTAGTCTTCAGCACTGGGCGCCATAGGAGCTAGAGCAGTACGAGAAAGAGAGAGAGAGATTGGGCGGAGGCCAGGGGGACTTACCTGCAGCGCCATAGCTCCAGCTTCGTCTTCGAGGTACCTGCAGCACAGCGCCAGCTTCACAGGTTAGTACCTGGCACGTGAGAGAGGGAGAGTTCTTCTTCCTCATCTCAGTCCACCATCTCCCTCTCACCCTCTCGCTATCTGACTTCACTGCATCAGCAGACTACGAGGGAGACAGAGAGAGCTTGGTGACATTTGGATCCAGACTCGATGTTGGACTTCAGACATTTTGACGAGGGATTATTTGGGACTTGTAACGAAGACTTGGTGTTGACGACTTTCCCATCACTCCCGTCCTCTTCTTCGTCTGTTCCCCTCCTCTTCGTCTGTGCATGATCTGGACCTGGCACATTCTTCCTGTGTGTGGCGCCAGGCCTCCTTCACACCTTGTGATGAAGATGATATATGTTTAGTCTGCATTGCAACATTGATTGGGTTCGTCATTTCTATTCTAGCATTCTGCTGCACTATCTTGTACTACGTGAAAGAGGTCAGTTCCGGTCAGGTCAGGACTTGTATCTAAGTCTTCCACTGCGCTATAAAGCACCATTTTTGTATGTATCAGAATGCACACTGCTTTTTGAGATTCTACTTGCACTGCATTGTCCATTCAGTCCTTTTCATCACATTGCGGATCCTTGGTTATATATGTACATCGCCCAACTGGGCATGTAACACCGATTGTAGCTTCGGTACCACCCACAACGCAATGTAGTGCCACCTCAGCCAAAATGCCACATCAGCATGCTCTCATCATCATACATACATCCGCTGTCGCCACAGCCTTCCTGCGGCTCACCCCTCTACCCGGGTGCCGCTTCAATGAGCCAGCGCCAATGTATCCTCACTGCACAGAAGCATTGTCAGCACACCAAGTAACACTGTTGGCGGCGGCAGATAGGCGATCTCGAACCAGCTCTGATACCAAATTGCAAGGAATATGAGCAAGAGCGATATACAGAAAACCAAGTTGCATAATCACGCAGATGTCCAGATAGTCATGTACAAGCAGAGAGCACAAATGCACTGTGATTCCATCCAAATAAGAGCAATACAATGAACTCGTGAGCCAATGTTCAAGCCCTCAGACCACACCAACACAGTATCCAATGTCGCTCCTCTCTGTCGGGCGCCCAGCGCCCAGCCTACGCTACTTGCCTATCTACTACAGCCGCATTCACGCAACAGGCTCACTTCGACTCGGAAGACCAATGTACATGACGTCAACACCATAGCCGACCTCCCTCATGCGCCAGGTACGTATCCCGTCTCTCCTCATCACCTCCTGACACCCACTCTCTCTCTCTCTCTGCGCCTCCTCCCGAAGACCCTCCTGTCACCCTCTACCTGCACCTTGCCCTGCAGCCCCTCTATGGCTGCTAGCACCCCGCTGCTCCTGCAGCGCCCTCACCTCCAGCGCCCGTGTGCCCCCCTGGCTGAATCGCGCAGCATGCAGCCACTTGCACAGCAGCGTGACCGCATTGCCTGCTTGGGCCAGGATACCATACCCTGGCTGCCTTCCTTCCTATATGGAAGTGGCAACCTCTGTTTGGCTGCGTGTGGGGGCCTGGCCACAAGGCTTCCAGTAGCATCCGGTCGGGCCCCAGGGTCTGCGCCTAGGCCTGCCCCTGCAGTTGAGGGCCTGGGCCCTTTTCTGTTAGGCACGCCCAGGACTTCCAGACTTCGGCAGTTTGCCGCATTTGCATTGGACCCGGGGTAGATATGTCGACAATGCTGCTTCCTCGTAGGCTGGTGGCCAGTTCGTGATGTATCTGCCTTGCAATGTGTGAGTGCGAGGCCCAACCGTACGGTGCAGCAGACACCTTCTGGAAAGAGCCGAGAGGCTCACGTTTCCTTGCAACCAACTGGTGTGCTGTAACTGCCTGAGTACCCACATATGAAAAAATGTCAAAATTTGGCCTCTTGCGAATACCCAGGCCCGCCTTTACTTAGGGCGGGCACAGGGCTTGCTGAGGGCCTCTGCCCAGACCATGTGCATGTCTGATAAGTGCCCCGCGAGGGCCTGTTCCTCGCAGAATAATGCCAAAACCTCCTCATGGAATGCACAGACGGTGTGGATTAGAGGCTTTTTTTTTTCCTTTTTTTTTTTAATTTTAAAAGATGAAACGTAGACTGGGATGCCCTTACTTCCAGCAGGGATAAGAGCACGTGCTTGTATGTAGTGGGGCTCTGGACAGAGACGGAAAATTGCTGGTGAGGTTGGCAGTTCATTGGGTCTCGCTCCACTACTGTCTGCTGTACAGAATTTCGTATAGTGGCCGTATAGCTGTCAGCGCTAGAAGTATTGTATAAACCGTGGCGTCGCTCCACTTCCTATCTGCTATGCAAGTCGGCAATTCCTGACCTCACTTCAAAATACCCGTACAGCTCTACACGACCGCTATTTCTCGGCCCAGACTCCAGACTCCAGGTGCTCCATACAATTTCGCGGTAGAACGCCTACCTCCTTCTACCACCCTGTGAGTGACGACTTTTGCAGGCTGGGAGCTATACGGGATCGTATGGTGAATTCGGAGGGCGCCATCTGATGACTATAGGGGGGATCATTTCTTGATTTTAGCGTGTCATGCTTGTGCTGGAGCCATGCTAATCTTATTTTTCTCTTCTTTCGCTCCAATTTTAACGGATGTCCCGGAGGACCATCTCCTTCTTTTTTTTTTTTTCCTTTCTTTCTTTTTGTGGTAGACTGGTTGAGAGGAAGGGAGACTTAAAAAAAGAAGAAGAAGAGAGACTTGTTCACCAGTTTGAGTTATTTTTTATTTTTTTTTCTGTGCTTGTTTTTTGTCTTGCTCTATATGTTTTCTGGACGGTTGGGTGCGTTTCAGACACATTTTGGGCCCCACTACACAACACAACACTCTATATGTATCTGGAGCTCATAACAGTCCCGATACATCTCAAATGTTGGACTCCTCGAAATGCACCTGGCTGGGTGATGGCATCCTCTTAAGGGAGCGCTACAACTCTTGTCAAGGGACGCCGGGCCCGTTTCCAGCTTCTTCTTCTTCTTCTTCTTCTTCTTCTTCTTCTTTTTTTTTTCTTTTTTTTTCAAGAAAAGGCCACCTGCAGTGCTAGTGGTGCTGGTGAAAGCAGGCACCACTAACACCCGGGGAGAGGCTCCATCTACTGGTGGGGAGCATCACCTGCTGGAAAACGGGTCCAGCCGCTTGAATAATAAATGTGTTATTTTTCTTTAAAAAAAAAAATAAATAAATAAATGCACCTGGTTTCTAAAGGCGTCCAAAATTGTGGAGCCTCGCCCATTGGCAGGCTTGATGCTGATGTGTGTGTTTGTGTGTGAAAAACGTCCTCAGGAGTTTTCTGTTTATTTTGAGAAGAAAATGGGGGGGGGGGGGGGGGGGGGAACTCGATTTACTCAAATGCTTCTTCGAAAATAAAGAGAAAACTGATTTTTTTTTAGTTAGCTTCCCACCAACTGAAGTTTTATGTCCTGATTTGTTTTTCATTTTTTGTTTGGTTGCAGTCTTTGGTCATGCCGCAGGACGTTGCAGCTGTCATCTGCATCTGAACACGATGTCGAGAGAGAACCGGGGGCAAGCTTGTGCAGGCATGCACATGTAGAAAAGCAAGGAATTCCTCCCCCTCCCCCCTCCCCCCTCGCCCCTCCCCCCAAAAAGGCAAGGAAGTGGGTGAGTGGTACTGAGCAGAAGGCCAGGTCCTGCCCTTCAAAAAAAACTTAAAAATAAATAAATAAATTGAAAGGGAGGTGTTGTTATCATATTTGAAATGGAGGAGGGAGGAGACGAAAAGGAGGAAGCACCATGAGGAAGCTGAAAAAAAAAGAAAAACAAGTAAAAAATAAATTAACAAAATGAGGAAGCTATCTGGTGACAGATCTAACGGACGGGATCTGGCCAATCCAGTGGTGGTCCCCGACCATCCAGGACTGATTCAGATGGGTGGTGGATGGCACTCGAGTGAGCCCAACAGCCTTCCATATGAAAGGTCCAATGAAGTTGCATTGCTTCGGCGTGAGAAACACGTTGGGGCTGCGCCAGCTGGCAGCTCTGTGGAACTATCTTCCACAGAAGGCTCACCCTCCGGGCAGGGCAGGAGATGGGGAGCATGGAGATGTACGGGGTCTCGTTTGTCCTGTGGAAGATGGTTAATCTTGCGCTCTATGTTCAGACTGCCGGTACTTGCGATCATCATCGTGGCCTTTTTTTGTTTGGCTTATTACATGACGGATGAGTGGCTTCAGATTGTGTGCGCGCCGTTGGGGGGAAAGGGATGTCTGGCAACCTCCACCTCCTTGGGTTTGAACATGAATGGCACCGACGCTATCGATCGTCGTCCTGAGCGTTCTGCACTCAACCTAAGCGTCGTGGAGCTGCTCCAACTCCCCTTGAGAGGACAAGATGCTTTCACAAAAGTCTTGGTCGAAGAGAATGATCCGATGTTCATCGGGGCGCTCGATTGCTTGTACTACATCAGTCGGGTAGTGGGAGAGGGAGGAGGGAACTCTTCCTCGTCTGCACGTTGCTGGTCTTCGGGGGGGCTTGTGCAGCAGCTGCAGGCTGGCGATCCGAAGCCGAGCGATGGTGTAGGGGATAATGGTGCCGGCGGGGGGCTCCAGCTACAGGGACGTGAGCTAAATAGGACGTTGTGTATACAGAATACGGTGGCCGCGAAGTCAGAGGAGCGTGTGGCCATATGGATGGCGGGAAAGGAAAGGGCTTGCGTGTGTGACGAGGTGTGTGACATCGTGCTGC